ATCCAGAAGAGGTGAAAGGCTACAAAGTTGATCCCTAAGATGTTCAGGTCCAAAAACCATAACCTCTGTCTTGAGTTTAGAAGAAGAAAATTAAGAGTCATCCATGTTTTTATGTCTGTAAGACATGCTTGTAGTTTAAGTGACTGGTTGGATTCATCAGGTTTCATGGATAAATATAACTGAGTATCATCAGCATAACAATGGAAATTTATCCTATGCTAATTAATAATTTTACCTAAAGGAAGCATACGAAGTAAAGAGGATTGGTCCAAGCACTGAACCCTGAGGAACTCCATGACAAACTCTGGTGTAAGAAGAAGATTCATTATTAACATCAACAAACTGAAATCTATCAGTGTTATCAAGGTTTAATTACAGCAACCTTAAAGCTCTGCGTTACAAAGCTGTTTATTAAAGATAAATTAAGTACATCTGAAATATAAATATTAATTAAGGGAAATGCTTCTTTTAACAGTCTGGTTGGAATAGGATCTAGCAGACATGTTGATGGTTTGGATGAAGCTATTATTTTAGATAATTCAGAGAGCTCAACAGGACAAAAACTGTCCAGACATAAATCAGGTTCTAGTGACACTAAAGCAGCCTCATCTGACTGAGAATCAGAGACAGTAGCAGGAAGTTTGGTGTGAATTTTATTCCTTAATAAAATTATTTTATCTATAAAGAATTTCATGAAGTCATCACTACTTAAAGTTACAGGGATACATGGCTCAACAAAGATAGGACTTTCATTAGTCTAGCTACAGAACTGAACAGAAACCTGGGATTGTTTTTATTCTCTTCTATTAAAGATGAATAATACACAGTTCTAGCTTTATGAAGGGCTTTCTTATATGTTAGCAGGCTGTCTCTCCAGGTTAAATAAAATTCTTCTATGTTAGTGGAGCGCCATTTTCTCTCCAGTTTTCTAGATGCCTGCTTTAAAGAACGTAACTCTGAATTAAATCAAGGAGTCGGCTTCCTCCAATCAATTGCTTTATTATTTAGTGGAGCAATTCCAACAAGAGAGGTTTGCATTAAAGTTGTAATATTATCAACAAGACCATGTAAGTTACTGTTCTCTGTTACATTATTCTGTCAGACAGAGGAAAATAAAGATGGAAGAGATTCTTTAAATTTAGCTGCGGCGTTCTCTGATAAACGTCTACTATAATGAAATTTACTCTCAGTAGCTTTAAAGTCAGCTAATGTAAACTCAAAGGTTATTAAAAATGGTCAGAGAGAACAGGATTGTGAGGATATATCATTAAGTTCTTGCTCTCTGTACCGTACGTCAGAACCAGGTCAAGATTGTGATGAAGGGAGTGAGCAGGCCTGTGGACATTTTGAGTAAAACCAATTGATCCAATTAAATTACTAAAAGCTATATTTAAGCTATCACTTTCACTATCAACATGAGTGTTAAAATCACCCATTATTATAATTTTATCAGTTTTTAATAATAAATCAGTCAGAAAATCTGAGAACTCTGATAAAAACAGATTAAGGACAATAAATAACAGCTAGTAGTAGAGGTTTTTCTGATTTCCATTTTGGATGAGAAAGACTGAGGGACAAAGACTCAAATGAATTATAACTAATATTTGATTTGGCATTAATTAATAGTTCTGACTTATAAACTGCAGCTACTCCTCCACCATGACCTGTTGTTCTAGGAACATGAAAATTTAAATAATTAGCAGGAGTGGATTCATTTATACTAACAAAATCCTCCTGTTGTAACGTTTCAGTGAGACAGAATAGATCAATATGATGATCAGTTATCAGATCATCAAAGACTAGAAAGAGATCCAATATTCAATAAACCACACCTAATAGTTTTATTGTTTTGTTCTGGTAAAGTAAATGTGTTTATTTTTAATAAGATTTGTATGATTTGTTTTTCTAAATTTTGTGTATTAATTTAATTTGTTCCGTGGGGCTGACACTCTGTTAATGGGGGTTTGGGTGGGTAAAGGAGACAACTCTGCTTCCTAGTCTGGACCCTGGATTGTCAATAATTAATATAGASCTTAACTTGATGATTTAAATGTGAAAAAGGAAGAGCTAAAAGCATGATATGTCTCCTTTAATCTAATTTATCAATAATTTATCAAGGCTACATTTGAAAGACTGCCCTGTGTTTGTTTTTGGTTGTTTGTTTTTTTGACCAGAGWTCAATAAAACTTGTGGTTACACAACATCGCTCTCTGTCCATGTTACAGAAACACAACCCTCATATCTGCTGCTCAGGACAGTGTGAAGCACATTTGCAGCTTCTAAACTGGTTTGTTGTGTTGCATTTCAGTTGTTTCAACCTAAAACAGACATTAGTGTTTGTGCCGTCTTATTAGGACAAACGGGATCAAACATCCCGGTTTAATGATTGTTGCAGCCGAGCATCGACCAACCGGAGAGCAGGCGCCCGGGGGGTCAGCAGCTCCTAAAAATCAAACAAACTATTGATCATCGGTGCTGCATCCCAACGTGAAGCACTCAGCTTCAGAGTCATCTGACAGCTGGCTGATCGTTTAAAGCATTTCCACAGTTGCTCCGTTCTCACTGGAAAGTTTGACTTTGTTGTGAGGCACCATGAAGCCAGCAGTGGTTCTGCTGGGCCTCGTCCTCCTGCTGGGCAGCACCCTCGGAGCAGAAGGTAAGTTTTCTCTAAAGTCTGTTCTGAGTCCATAAATCCACAAATCAAAGCCAGTTTTACCACAATAAGTTAGAATATGTTGATTTGTTTTCTAGTTATTACAATTTAGTGCTATCACTGCTTTTTAGATCATTTATCTTGACTTGACCTATGATCATTACACAACAGCTGGTCATGTCAGTAAAGTACTTTTATGTACTTTTAAAAAAAGAGATTTTAGATTTACACACATTAATGTRTTGACAAAAATATGAGCTGCACAGCTTGTTTAGTTTCACTAGTTTGGCTATGAAAGTAGCATCTTTTTTAAATTTTAGCTCATAAACTGCTTATATTTCTTATTTGTGCCAATTTGTATTGATTATATTATGTATACTTTCCCCTCAGTGCCATTTAAGTGTTTAAAAATGACATCTTACTGTTATTTAAGTACGTTTTTCTGCAGGTTTTACCAAAAGAAAGGTATGTTCATGCTTCCAGTCTTCATTGTTTCTTGCATTAAAAAATTAAAATTTTGCACCAGGATAAAGAATTTTTAAAATTCTATCCATCCTGTTAAATTTACTGAGTATTTTTCCCTCAATCTTCAAAAGCAATCTTAAATATCCAAAATATGTCAAATCTTGAAAGAGTAAATTATTGATGAAGGCTCAGATAATCTGCTTTTCATAGTCCAGTTTGACTCAATTTAATCATGCTTTAAAAAGGTTAAAGTGCCAGTGACATCAAATTTTTTGTAATAAATATGAATTCATTTTTTTGAAGGATAACACTGATAACATATTGCAAAGCAAATTTTATGCTGTTGAGATGAACGGTTGTTGAGATATTTGCATGTGAAGTAACAGGAAGTGATGTCACAGAGTCTGAGCGTGAACAGAGTGCTGCTACAACGGCTAACAACACAAACCGTAGAGAAGAATCTGATGTTTCTTTAGATTATTTTGAGTCATGATCAGTGGGAGATGAAGAAGAATCAGAGTTTAAAAAATAATGTTTCAAATAAGAAAAAACAGAGAGTTTTCATTCTTAAAGAGTCCCCCTTTGATGTCACTTCCTGTTCTATTTTCAAAATATGCCATGTGACAAAATGTGTAAAATCATGCATGTTTTGTCAAGTTTCTTAAACATAAAGATGTTTTCTTTGACTTTACATGTAAAAATATTTTTCAAATGTCACAGGCACTTTAAAGATGTGATTATAATATTAAACTTAGTCTATATTGAGAGTTTTTACTTGTGTCGTACAACCTGGACTTCATAAGTTTTGATAAATGWCCTCAGTTTTATTTTTTCTTTGTTGGCTGGATCTCTGAAACAAACAAGCTGTATTTCCACAGAGTCCTGCACGGGTCGCTGTGGCTCCTTCCACCCACAGATGAAGTGCCAGTGTGACTCCATGTGTGTGTATTATAGGAGCTGCTGTGGAGACTTTTACACCATCTGCCCCAGAAAAAGTCAGTGTGGAAAATTAAACGTGTACTGTATTCAAGTTGTTTTTAATAATAATAAGTTTTACTGGTAACACCATCACCTGCTCATGTGTCCTGCTCAGTTTCTCGAGGAGACACGTTTGGGGAAGCAGAGGAGATGAATGTCACCACGACCCTCAGACCCACTGTGAACACGGTCGCACCCACAGCCTCCGTCCCCCCGCCCACCACCACGACCCCAGCTGACGCCGACGCAGCGGCCTGCAGCGGTCGACCTTTCGATGCCTTTCTGCAGCTGAAGAACGGGTCGATCTACGCGTTTAGAGGTGAAACCTGGATGTTACTGTTTGTTGTTCATTAAACAGCAGTTTGTTGGGTTTTTTACTTAAAAAAAGGGCCTGACTTCGATAAAAGACCTTGTAGATCTGATATCTTCTGGTGTTAGACCAAAAGCCTAAACTCTGATGACTTTACTTTAATTCAGAGGTTCTCAAACTGAGGTCCCAGGACACCCAGGGGTCCGTGAGCTGTAACTTGGGGGTCCTCAAAAAATTGTAATAAACTGTTAATTTAGTTTTTCATTAAAGAAAAATCTTAGGGAAACAAAGCACCAGTAAAACTAACTTACTGAACCAAATAAACAATAATTACTCTCATAGCATTTAGGCATTAAAATGGTAGTAAATCAGTTTTAAATCAGCATAAGGTTTATGAGGGGGTCCCTGGAATATTTTCACCTTTATAAGTGGTAGGGAGACCGGGGACAGTTGCAACACTTCATGCATTTGACTCTGTTACTCAGAGATGGTTTGAATTAGACAAACCAAATATTAATACAATAAACTCACACCTGTCTGTTAATAGTCTAAACCATTAATAGATGATTAAATCATGTACATTCTTCACTATTTRCATTTGAAAATGAAAAGTCAGATGTTGAAACTGAGCCCGGGGCCGGGGACAGTTGCAACATTGTTTGTTGGTGGTTACAACATATTATTAATACAATGTATTTCACTGTAAATAAAAGTTTTATTATTTTTGTATTTATATTATTGCTAAATTTATAAAAACTGAGAGTTATCATGATATTACAGTTATTTATTAATTCTTTTTGATCAAATGACAAATATAGACTTGATGAGTGGACCTTATATACAGATGTCAAAGACTCTGATATAAAATACAGTTGGATTTTAGAAACAAGAATAATAGAACAATTTATGAGACAATTAACTTTAGTTTTGCCTATTGTCACTGTACGCCTACATTATGTAACATTTACATTAAAGAAACTGGGATTTTAAAACCATTGTTGAAAAACAACAACTGCAGAAAATACATCTTAAACACTTTAATGTTTTAAACTATAAAACTGTCATGAATACCCAATACACTTTTAAGTGTAAACTTAGTTTCAACATCTTAATCTCATCTGTATGTGCTCTGTTTTTATATGGATTTATTGTATGGGGACAGTAGCAACAGTTGTTACAACTGTCCCACTTCCTGTCAGCCATGATAAAACCTCATGTGTGAGCTAAATAAGCTGATCTGGATACATGTTAACTAGATTAGTTAAAAGTCAACATATCACTTGTTTAAACCGTATAAGTTTGAGCTGCATCACAAAAACAGTGACAACGGTTTAACAAAAATAAAGCTGAGCAAAATAGAAAATACTTTGGTTCCTCAAAAACAGTTTTTTTCAAGTAAATCCTGGAGCAGTTTTTGAATCTGCTTACTTTACAAGGTGGGACATGTAACTGAGCATGTACAGTGTGAGTGTCATCACTCTAGCTTGTTTCTGTTTGGAGAAAAATGACCTGTTGCAACCGTCCCTTGTTGCTACTGTCCCCGGTTTTACTAAGACCCAATAATTTTGAGAAACTGTTTAATTAGATGAGAACACCTGAACACAAATTAACATGTCACCTTTTTAGTTTTGCTTTTTTYCCAATAAACTGCTATTTAAGGTAATAGACATGGGGAAGGACATAAAAGATTGCAACATCCTAAATACTGATTGATCTGTAAACTTTCAAAACACAAAAGTCTAATCTGACTCTTTTAAAATTGTCTTATTTTGAAATCCCCAAACAGTGCATAAAACAATTTATATATTTATATGTTTATTTTCATTCTTTTCCAGTTTTTTAAACAACAACCAGAGACAAAGCTTTTCAAACAGCCTGTCGCATTAAATGAYCTCCTCCTTCTCATTTAGGTGAATATTTCTTCGAGCTGGATGACAAATCCGTACTTCCTGGTTACCCCAAACTTATCCAGGATGTGTGGGGGATCCCTGGGCCCATCAGCGCCGCGTTTACACGTATCAACTGCCAGGGAAAATCCTACATCTTTAAGGTGGGGCTTTATGTATTTCTAATAATCTGGAAACTAACAGGATTAATCAAGCTGTGAATGGAAGCACGATCAGCCATCAAACTGAGGGAAATCTAAAATTTTATTATTTTTAAGTTCTAGTTTTCTTAAGCTTTCTTCTGCTAAATATTTAAGACAACCTAATTAATGTAATCTCTGTAAAGTCTCACCATCAAGGTCAACGAGGTGTTAAACACGAAAGCCCCCCTTTTTTCTCTTTTCATATTTTAGGGTAAACAGTACTGGAGGTTTGAAGGTGACGTCATGGATGAGGACTATCCGAGGGACATTTCTGTCGGTTTTGAAGGAATACCTGATGACGTCGATGCGGCGTTCACTGTACCGGCACCGAATCACCTCGGGAAGGAGAAAGCTTACTTCTTCAAAGGTATTTGTCTTGGTGTTTAAAAGCTGCACAAGCCATTTAATTATTTTTACTCAAGCCCAAAAACTGTCCATCTTACCAAGTTTTAAAATCTTATATCAGCCAAAAAGTCTTTTTGATCTTGTTTTGAG